GGGGAAGATCAAATTAGGGAGCATTTAGGTGGTTCTGCAGAGAAGTTGGCAGCACTTGAAGAATAAGAAACACTGTTGTTTTGAATAATTACCTTCCTTACTTGGGTCACCTAAGGTCTTGCAGAAAAGCCCCCTGCATTAGATTGAGTGAAAGATGTAGTTGTCATGATTGCCGAGTGGGCTGAAGTGACAGAATAAATGACTTCACCTGCACAGTGTCACTCTCCATGAGCCAGGATGCACAGAAAAAGCAGGAGAATTTTAGGGTAATTTGAACAATATTTGCAGTGGTGGCAACACATGGCTGTTTCTTCACAGCAGGCAGCAGTATCAGGGAGTCTTTATTAGGGTGCCTGTTCTTATCACCTAAAACTTCCAAAGCTTAACTGACTGTCAGGATAATTAACCCCCCGTATACTGGATGTTCTTTTAGATCCACTTCTAATACATTAAGGAAAAGAAAGAAAATAATCATTTTCAGGTTGAGTAGCCTGGCCCTTAGATGCTGATATATGGCAAAATTGCAGCCCAATAGGAAATGAAACCACATTTCTTAAAAACAATTTTGAAAGAAACCTATTATTTTTCCCCCTTTTTTTGAGTGCATAAAATACTTTATAGACTTTATTATTTACAATGCCTCAAAGTGTGGGGTTGGAATTAGAAACATAGTACATTGACGTGGGAAGAGATCTGTTATAGCTAAATGAACCCTCTCATTTTATATTATATTAATCACAACTATCATACAAACCTTTGGTGTGAACATCTGAATGAAATACCAAGTTAAATGTTCTGTACTCTCGATTGCCTATTGATCTTTTTTATTTTTTTCTTCTTTTTTTAACCACAATATTAAACTGGGTCTATAAATGCTTGCTCAAGCCATCATTGTAGGATAAATATTTCAAATCTTTTTCACATAAATGAAAATGTTCAAGGAGCTTTGTGGATCTCAAATCCTTGCTATGGTTTTCATTGAATACTTACCAGAAATGACAAGCAACTTTTACATCATTGAAATAGTTATGATGTTCTGGCTTATCAATATAGGTTCACATTCATTTTAGGAAAAAAATAACGTTGGTATTTGGTATTTTCAACAACAAAATAGAGCTATATGGCACAGAGAACATTATTTCTGAAAGGCATTGAGGTCTTCTAATACATTATTGCACTAACCCAGATTGTATACCAGCTGTGCAATTTATGATCCATCTTCAATACGGATTATTATTCAGCCACTAAAAAGAATTAATGGGCTATAATGTTAACTTACCAAGTAAGAAAAGCAGGTAACAGAGACATTTTTCCAATGAGATCTCATATTAATGAGTTCAATATCATGATATGATCAGGAAGGAAAATATGGAAGAATATATACCAGTTTGTTAAGGTGAATTGCCAATTTATTAAGATGAACTCCCTGGGCTAAAATAAAGGTATCAGCAGGGCTGACTTTCTTCTAGAGGCTCTAGGGTCCATTGCCTAGCCTTTTTCAGCTTCTAGAGCCTACCCTCATTCCTTGGTTTGTGAGTAAGAATGGGGCATAGAAATAAACATATGGGGAAAAAATAGACAAGCAAAGAGAAAAAGGATAAAAACACTTTACCTTAAAACATTTGATGTGCACTAATTTCAAATTGCATATGCATATAGAAAGGACATGTTAAAAATCCCATGTTAAAAAAGAATGTCGTGCTTCCTGACTCCTAGAGGACATAATTGTAAACAGGAATATTGTCCTTATACTACACAGATTTATAGCTGTAGAACATGCCCTGGAGAGGCAGAAAGCTGGGTTTTCACTTTCTGTCTGAGTGAGTCTGAGCAAGTTTCTGAGAGCTGGCATGGGGGAGCAGGAGCAGCTGGGGCCTTGAGTTTGAACACTGACTTTGCAATTTCCTACCTGTGCAAGAGTAGGTATTCTTCACATTGAAAAAATGAAGACAGAATTGTATATGTTGCTGCAAGAATTAAATGAGACAGCACAATTTAACAACTGAAATCATTATCAACTTTCAAGAAAGAATTATTTTTCTTTGAGTGCCATTACTGTTATTGCTTTCTATCTATAATCTAAAACCCAGGAGTTTGAAGCTTGAACACTAAATGATGACTTAACAACAATGTCTATTAAGTGCTATGTTATCTTATACACTCTGTACGTACTATATTGTAGTGAATGGGGAAATGACAGTGTTATCAATTGATCAACAGATTTTTTTTTATTAGGGCATTATTACATCTCTAGTTAATAGCAAGTTTTCACACAGAGAATTTATCTTACACTTATTTGGTGTCCATCTATCTCATTGTTTGAGGCCAAGCCTAAAATATTGAGTTCTTTGATTGAATTTTTTAAGATCTTATAACCCCCCCACCTTTGTTTATGAGGAAAAGAGGAGTTTGTAAATTCGTATTTATTGATGCACTTGTGATATATTTTATGGGTTGAGGAGGTTGAGTCTCAAATCCTAATATTTACCTTACTCACTATCAAATGAGGAAGTGGAATGAGGAATAACAGCCAAATAAAGAATGAAGCACAACTTTGTTAGTTTGGCAAGCTCCTTGCCAAAGATCTTTCCTAGACAAAACTGAGCTGAACCATAGTATAATATCAAAGCTACTTCGGTGGCTGGTTCCTCTGCTTGCTCTACTTCACCAATTTGAGATTGCTGGGCCAGCCCTTCCCATGTAACTGTAAGACATGTGTGAGACAAGCGTGAATGGCTTGCCTAAGTCAGCTTCTAGAATGTGATACCTGAAGCGAAAAAGCAAAAGGCAGAGGGTTCAGAGCATCCAGACTCATTATCACATCAATCATGTGGTCAGGAGGCAGCAGAAGATAAGTAACATTGATTCAGGAGGCCAAAAAGAGAAAAGGTACTAGCCGTTAAAGAAGAAAAAAAGAAACTGCATACAATGAATGTCCTAAGCTCAGCCTAAATATTAAACAGTTGCAACACAGTGCAATGTTAAATAGAAAAATACTACACAGACTGGCGACGAAAAGGTGGGAGTAATTAATTATTTGCATGAGCCAGGGAAGACATCATAGAGAAAGATACATAGGGACGAGTAGGTATTTTTCAGAGTAATGATTACCACAAGGAGGAAATTCCAGGAATAGGGAATTTGGTAAACTATAGTAAGTTTTGGGGAAGGTAAACAGTTTAGTATGACTGAAGAAACTTTCATAGGACAAAAGCGAAAACTAGGGAGGTAAGCAGATATGGGAAAGCCTTAAATGTCATGCTAATGAATATAGGCTTTATCCAAGGATATCTACAGGAGGGTGCGTGAAAACAAGACACCTGAGTTAAGGTTTGCTCTAATGATATGAATAGTAGTTTGTCTCTAAAGCTGTTACTACATAAATATTTCCATAGTGTTAGTTTCCAATGGCTGCTGTAACAAGTTATTCCAAACTTGGTGGCTTAAAACAATATAAATCTATCTCATAGTTCTGGAGGTTAGAAGTTTGAAATGGATCTCCCTGGGCTAAAATAAAGATATCAGCAGGGCTGACTTCCTTCCAGAGACTCTAGGGAAGAATCTGTTTCCTTGACTTTTTCAGCTTATAGAGGATGTCCTCATTCCTTGGCTTGCGGACTTGTTCCGTTTCAAAGCTAGCAATGGCTGATAGAGTCTGTGTCACGCTGCATTACTGTGGCACTCTCTCTTCTGTCTCCCTCTTTCACTTATAAGGACCTTTGTGATTACATTAGGCACACCTGGATAAGCCAGGATACTCTCCCTGTCTCAAGGTCAGCTGATTAGTAACCTTAGTTTCATCTGTGACCTTAATTCTCCTTGTCATGTGATCTAACATATTCATAGTTGAAGATTAGGACAAGGATATTTTGGGGGACCATTCATCTGCCTACCACATCTAGTTTTGTATACAAAAGAAACACATCTGATTGAACAGATTAGTTTTTCAATATCACATTCTTATAAAACTATCCTATAAGGACAATGATAATAATAGATCACAGGTTTACCATGTAAGAAATTAGAAGATATAATGAAAAGTTATTATAAAGGATTCCCTAAAAATATAAAAGACCTATTGGCAGCTAGCTCATCTTTCTTGAGAAAACAACTCAGCAAAGCAATAGCAGAATTGCTTCATTTAGGTAACATTTTATTTGTTAGAATAAGATTTGACAGACTTCAACAGCTGGAGAAATTAATTTAAAATCATAACATTTAGTGTATTGACACACTTTTACAAGTAAGTGAAGAACAATTACATATTTTTGAAATAAAGCCACTGCTTTTACATCTTAATGAGAAACCATACATTTAAGCAGATAAACTTTGATAGCAGAAAACTGTCAGAAAATAGATCCACTGTGAAAACTTCTACAGTTCTCAGTGATTTCTTTGTCATAAATAACATTTTTAAATGTGTACTTTTCTGAACAGAAAAAAATAGCAATTCACTTCATGAATAGTTTCATATTTACAATGCCCTTTTAAAAATAGTAAATTAAAAGGGAATATGTGATATAGACTATAATATTTCTAAAATTAAAATAATAAAGTATTCAAAGATACTAGTCTAATGAGATAGGATAATTTTCACCACACTTAAGGTAATAGAATAGAATTCTTCAGCTTTATATACACTATGTTTACATTTACAGGCATAAACAGTATTATATTTGACATATTTATATTTTACTGATTAAATATCTGAAATCAAAATCTGCAAAATAAGTATAGAAACAGCATATACTTCAATCTAATGTTAACGTAAGAAACAGATATGTGTCTTTTTTTAATTTGTGGAGTTGCTTTTTTAGAATATTGGGAAAGGAAATGGATATAACAAATAAAGGTCTAAGTTATTTTAGGAGAAACTTAAGTTCAGAACAATTCACAAAATGGTAAGATGTGTTTCTTTAATTCTTTATTCAACTCTCAACAGTTTCTCATCTAGTTGACAGAAAAACAAGTTTATTCAAAGTACGTCTCCTTGTTACCACAGCCATTCCCTTTTCACCATTTTATATTCAGCCCTTTCGTTCTCTCATGTTGCACTTTCTATAATGGACCTCATTACCAAGGTGGTAGGGGACTAGTTTCAGAGGCAACATGAGTCACAAAGGTATAAAACCAGTGGTTTCCTTCAGGACATTCATATACTTTTTGTGTTAGAAAGAAAATCTTTCCTTGGGTGCAGCGATATCACTCTTGAGAAACCAATTACTTTCCGAATATCTGCAATACTATTTTTGACATAACTATGTCACGTAGGAAAGCACACTACAGCTATATGGTACATAATTTCAACTACTATTATCTACAGTTCCTATACTGTAAACAGAAAAACTGATTTATAATATTTGATTATGTAGTAATTCATAACTGAATAATTTGATTGAGTCAACTTTATACACTGGTCATCCACAGCTTGGGTTTTTGGCTTCTGTGCAGCTACAATTATCCATAGTTCTCTATGTTTACCTTAAACAGCCAAAACAACAGGGCACATTTTTGAACAATCTATAATACTCTTCTTGAATCTAAAAAACGAAACAAAAAGGGAGAAATATTAAACATAATCATGACAGTAACATCAATTGTTTTTCAAATCACAATGAATTATTACATTTGGTTTTCTAAGATATTATTGCTTTCTGATTATCTGTCAGAATATGCTTATGTGAATGTAAGCTTTATTTACAACCCTAATAGCAAGATTTTTTAAAATGTATTTTTCTATGAACAGCTAGGTGTTCTGATTGTTTTGATACTGAAATGACACTGTAGGCAATAAAGGCAGAAGTCATAAATCTACAAGAATAAGAATTTTCCATTAATTTGGTAACTGATGCTACATAAATATACTATAGGGTTGACCAAAATAAATTGCTTACCTTTCTAGATAAAACACACAGGAATAAGAAAATGAACATCCCTTGGAAGGCATTGCTGACTGTGAAGAGGTAAGCTGTAACCACGGATGCATGAACGACATGGAGAACCCCAAAGATCCAGGTGGTGCCAAGAAGGAACAGGAGAGCGAGGGCTCCTCTTGCACAAGACCTATCATATATTTAGAATGTTTCAGCTAAGAAAGCCATGTATGTTCAACAGAGTTCCCAAATTACTCATACGGTGTGGAAAATGAGTTTTTGGTATAACCATGAAATCTTTTACAAAGACCAATAATGATTTTTAAACTGACAAGTTGTGCTGCATTTACATGGGATAGGCTTTAGGGTATGCTCCTGCACCGTGGCGGGATGTGCTTCCAAAGTCCAGGTACTATTATTAAAATACGGCATTTTAAAAGGAATTTCCTTCATCTTAAAGTATTTTATCTGGTGTACTGCAGTGCGCATGCTTTGATTTCAAGTCTAATGTTGCAGTAATTTCTGAAGGTAAGACATGTATCTGCTAGGAAGTATTTTCCCTAAGAAACCCTGAAAAGTATACCATGTAGACTGGGATCAGCCCATGTCCATGACATCAAAGGAGGCTCTGCTTTCCTCTCAAGGTTAGTAGAGAAGAAAATATAGGATACAAAATTAGATTTTTATTTTTTTTGCTTTTGCAATACAGTTACTTCAAAATAAATTCATGCCAGAATACTGATTTATTAAAAAATAAAGAAAAAAAGACGCACACTCAGGTTTACAAATTTTCAACTGTTTGCCTGTGACTTTTGGTAAAACAATATTCAATCCTGCTCACTGAGGATACTGCCTTGAAAACGAAGCAACTAATGATTATTCTCTTATTCATTTTAGGCCAATCATTCTCTACTGCAGAAGGTGTTTTAGTAGTGTTCCTCAGAAAATGAGTCATTTTCAATTTTATTAAAACCAGCACACTACACGAAACTATGAATGGTGAGGACTCAAAGAAAGTAATCGATCAAACATTTGCTAAATCCCAACTATAAATCTCGTGCAAGGTACTGAAACTACAGGAGTGTTCCCAGGCAAAACAAATAGTCAGTTGTTTCCAATGTTCCCTACAGTATACTTCAGCTTTTCCTGAACAAATCATTTTCAAGGACTCAATAAATCAGTTTTAAAGACAGGGGGTTGAGGAAAAATTATGGCAATATGCTAACTAGGAATCACAAGAAAGAAACAATTACTAAGCTCTGAGAAATGTTTTACCAAAAACAAAACAAAACAAGCAAAAAATCAACACAACATTAAGGCCTTCTTTTGACTTAAAACACAGTTATCATCTTTTTCCTTTCAAAGGGGTGTATGTTTGAAAAGATTGCTTCACTTACCATTTAATCAGCAGTGGCTGTAGTCTTATTAAACATATTAAATTCTATTTTCCAAAAAATATTTTAGATATGGTGAAAGAAAGTATGAAACAATTATTTTAAAAAATAATTCCAAAAATGATTTGTACTTTAAGTTACTAAAGCTTTCAATTACTAAAGGAAGTGGACTTAAAGAAACATTTACCTTATGTTCTCATAGCAACTAACTTCTGGTTTCAGTCCTGCAGTGTGACGAAAAACTTTGTATATGATAACTCCGAAAGCCAAGAGATTAACCTGGGAAAATATATTAATTTCAAAGAAGAGATAATTTGTATACGAAATTAGATACATATAAAGGAAATAAATAGTGAAGATTTCAATAAGATAGAAACAAAAAAATCATGGCATTTTTATATATATTACAAAGTACAAATGCTCTAGTAGACTTAGGCAAATAAATCTGTGGTTTTTCTTCACCATATCACTGAAAATTGAAATTAGTTAGTACAATTTGCCAGATTGTGCTAAACAGCCTGTTCAGCAAACTTCTTCAGATCACACCTAAAGATTGAAGAGTATCATCTGCTTCCACTAATGGGATTAATATACACATAAGATAAATTTTGGTTTGGAAAGCTTTATAAACACTTGAGAAAGCAAATTTTTGCTCATTAAATTGTATACTGTTTCTTTGAGGAGAAGTGTTAGTGATGATTCTGTTAACCCTTTAAAAATTGAGACTGGAAAAGAAAAAATTGAAAGGAAATTAGAAAACACAAAAAAACAACTTCAATTTCTATTTTTAGGAAATGTTCGAATGTACTTTTTTTTGTGAGAATCATGTAGAATCTTTCTTAATATTTATGTTGAGATTTCCTTTCCCTAGATTTAACTTTAGAAGCTTTCAAAATATTAATCGATGAAACAAATGTTTGTTGGAAGGCAAATAAATATTTTAATAAACACATTCTATTATTTACATCATGTAATATGGGCTAAATAGAACACACAGTTTTTACCCCTTTTCATGTGACTGCATTATGAAATTTCCTCTTTTTTCCTTCTTTTCCTATGTTTCTGGAAACCTTTGAGTCATATTTGCAATGTTGTAAGATTAAATGAAGGGTATATTTTAAATGTATATCTATTCTAATATGAGCATATTCATAATTTAAAATATGAAATATTATAGAAATAATTAGGTTAATCCTTTATTAAATATATTTTATTAACCCAGATCTTCAAAACCCATTTTGAAATGACAATAGCAAAGTACAATATTATAATTTTCAGCCAATTCTTATACTAGTTATTCAGAGGCTTATAGATATTCAAAATTTCTTTTTTCTTTCTTCTATATTCTAAAGAGTTTGATATAGGTTTTCAAATGAAATTTAGTAATTACTATTATAAAAAACAGTATGAAATAATGAGTCAGAGAATTTCGTGTTGTCACTTCTCCATGGAGAGATCCTTCAGAGGAAATCTTATAGGAATAAGAAGCCTAGTCCCTTCTTCCTGTTTCCAAATGTCCGTTAATTCTAATTATATGATTAATTAATTCTAATTACAGTAATGCTTCCATGCAAAGACTTTAGCAATTGCAGAGGAGAGATAAAGTATATTTAAATTGATTTAGCTGACAGTTTCACCCTATTTGTATGCTCAAATAATTAACTGAAATGACAATTTAATAATATTTATTTTTATGAATAGCCTTTGATACTTATGAAAGCGGAATACTTAGTATTTTCTAGGTTTCAATAGCTATAACTTTGAATAAATTTGAAATCAACAATTGTACTTAATTTTATAAATGTATGATATATTTTTTGAATAATAAAAAGTATTAAAATTTGCTTAGCATAAATAATATATGTAAAACCATTATTGGTTTGAAAAATCTTCAAATAATTTTTGTGAGGTACTTACATTAAACTTGTCTCAACAAAGGAAGCATTATAAGAGAAAAGAAATGATTTAAAAAGTGTTCTTTAGTCCCACAATTTTTCCACATAAAAGAGTAATGTATAATATTTATTAAAATTTCTTAAATATTTGATTTTGATAAAACTGAGTTTTTGAAAAATAGTTGTTCATACTGCTATGGTTTTTCAGAAGTACATATACATTTTGGATATGCTAGTCTACATCACATGCTAAAATAGTGAAGAGAGGAAATGGAATATTCCCTTGGGGTGACCCAGATCTTGAAAGTACATTTTTTCTGTTTACATACTTATATAAACCAGGTGCTGCTGGGCAAGTGGGAGACTAATTCTTATTCCGTAAGCCTATATTTTCCCAAATGTATAATAAAACAGATTAAAACATTTTTATCAAAAGGTTTTATCATTTTATGTAATCAAAAAAACACAAATACATTGGTTATATTATACATATTCATTGATAATAATACAAATATATGGAGCTTTTTATTTTCATTTATTCTAATAATTTTATAAAGCATCTATTAAGTGGTACAGTAGCAAGGGCTGGATACATATTAATAAATAAAACAACATGGTCTTTTTCTCTCATAGATTCTATTAAGAAGTTAGATAGCAAACAATCATACAAATACTTATAAATCCACAAACCTTGGTAAATGCTATTAATTCACAAATTTGAACTGTTAGGAGAGACGAAATGGAGATGGATTAGAATGAAGGCTCAGGAAGTACCTGTCTTAGGACTTAGTATTTAAACTCAGTTCTTATAAATTATAATGCATTACCAGATCAAAGAATGAAGCGATAAAAGCACTCCATGAAGAAAAACAGCATAGAAAAAGCCCTGAGGCTTGAGGATTTGAAAAAGTGATATTCCTATAAACAATTGATAAAGGTGTCTGGGGTGTAATGAACAAAGGGAAGAGTAGCATGAGACGAGGTGGGTGAGAAAGACAGAGACAAATATCACATGGATTTTGTCTTAAGTGTCTCTCTCTTACCTGTCTCTCCTTTTGCGATCATTTTGCCACCTATCACAGTAGTCCTAAATAAAGTCTTCCTTACCATTTAACAAGTATCAGAATAATTTTTTCTTTAATTTTTATGAGAATAATAATTTTTACCAGTAATAATTTTTATGATACATAAAGAATCAGTTATGCATTATAGACCTTTTTCTCAAGGAACTTACAGTATATTGGTGGCAATGACCAGTCAACAGGCAAGTACAACACAATTCAGAAAGTACCCAGCAGTTGTTTGCACAGTGGCATGAAAGGACACAGGTGAAAACACCCTAAAATGTGATTTCTAAGCCAATCTTCAATGACCAGTAGAGGCAAAAGAGACAGCACAGAGAAATAAGTGACTACTCTGGATTTTAGCCATTGGACCCATATAACACACTCACTTCCTAGGTGATCAGACCTAATGGTTCAAAATACTATCTATCCTTAGGCCCTATCTGACTCCTCCATTTGGAAGTTTAGTAGGCATTGTGAATTAGAAAAATGTCCAAAACCAAATTGCTGTTCTTCCCCCAAAGAACCTATTTTTGCTGCAATCTTCCCCATCTCAAAAAAAATATATATATATATCATTCTTCTAGCTTATCAGTCTTATCCATCAGCAAAACCTTAACCTCTACCATCAAAATATATTCAGAATATGAACACTACTTACTATCTCCACAGCTGTTATCCTGAAACAGGCCACCATCATGCCTCCCTGGGCTACTGCAGAAACCTCCTAATTGATCTCCCTCCTGCCATCTTTGCCTTCCTGCAATCTATCTCATCACAGCTGTAAGATTAGTCTCTTTAAAATGTAAGGCAGCTGGTCGCAGTGTCTCACGCCTGTAATCCTAATGCTCTGGGAGGTTGAGGTGGGAGGATCTCTTGAGCTCAGGAGTTTGAGACCAGCCTGAGCAAGAGTGAGACTCTGTCTCTACTAAAAATAGAAAAATTAGCAGGGCATGGAGGTACATGCCTGTAGTCCCAGCTACGTGGGAGGCTGAGGCAAGAGGATTCCTTGAGCTTGGGAGTTTGAGGTTGCAGTGAGCTAGCATGATGCCACTGCACTCTACCCAGGGTGACGGAGCGAGACTCTGTCTCAAAAAAAAAGTAAACCAGATATTTTCTCTATTCAGAATCCTCCAATGGCATCCCATCTTATTCAGAGTTAAAGCCAAAGATTTCACAATGTCCTTGAAGGTCTGAAATGTTTTGGTCCCTGCTATATCTCTTCCTTCAAATGCTACTTCTCTCTGTACTTTGACCACTTCACTGCACTCACAGTGGATTCTCCATGGTTCCTCCAGGACACCAGGTGTGCTACAGGGCAGTTGTACTTACTGGGCTCTAAGACATTCCATGGCTCATTTTCTTGCCACCTCCATTCAAAAGCCACCTTATCTGCATACTGCCTCCCAGTGTATATTTATTCAGATGATAAAATCAGAGCTGAGTTCAATTCTATGGAAATACAGAAAATGATGCGTATTCTTGACTGTTTTGAATAATGCAAACTCTGTATGCCAACATGGTCTTCCTTTGCCTTATCACTAGAAAACCTACAAGACTCTCTCCTTCAACAAATTTTAGCAGGTGCTTCTCAACTAGACCTTAACCTTGGGTTTCAGAAGCTATCCCTGTGGAGTTTAGTTTTAGCAAAAATCCTGCTCAGTCAGTTTAGAGAGAATCTTCCCACTTCTGATATCTGATCACTCTCAATATCTAATCAAATGCCTCATCTCCCACCCTTGATATTTGATTACCCTGGCCTACCTTTCAACAAGAATGCTCTCCAGTTTAGCAAGAATTCTCCTTCCCCATGATGTCTTTTCTTAGTAATTATTCCACTATCCTCAAGCTGCTCCTTGGCTGTACCTTCCTGGTTGTCTTTACTGTGTTCAGAGTTGAGTCAATCTGTCTCTCCTTTTGCCACTGTCTTGACACCTATCACAATAGGCCAGAGTAAAGTCTTCCTTACCATTTAATAAGTATCAGAATAATTCTTTAATTTTTATCAGAATAATAATTTTTACCAGAATAGTAATTTTCTAAAATTATTTAGAATAATTTTTTTTCAGTTACCCCAAATTTGCTAAATTTGCTGGATCACATCCAATTTCATAATATTCAGCAAATTTGGCATAACCGGAAAAGCCTACATTTACTCCTACATTGTCTGCATTCTCTCTTTATTCATAAATATATAAATTACTCAAAATCATTTTTCCATCAGAGTCAAAAGCCGTAAGTAAAGAATCAGTATCACCTAAAGTCATTTAAAGGCATGTGGCTTTATGTATGTAGACATGGAAATTAAGTTAAACTCTCT